GTATTCAATTTGGTAAGCTCCGTTGGTTAAGACTTCACTTATTTTGAATGGACCTTCCCACTTCGGCCTTAATGGCCCGGGATCAGGCCCCACAATTCTTTTGAGCACGAGATCGGCAACCTTAAATGTACGGGGTCGAAGTTTGGAGTTGACGTACTTTTCACTTCTCTGCTTATATTCAGCATTCTTGAGCTCGGCTTGTGCTCGTAGTTCATCTACCAAATCGAGGTTGGCCCTTAGATTGACTTGGTTGTGATCTTCCTCGAAATTTTGTACCCGGTATGTTGGGGATCCAAGTTCAACAGGAATCATCACTTCTGACCCGTAGGCTAGCGAGAATGGTGCTTCTCCAGTTGAGGACCGAGCTGTGGTTCGATACACCCAGAGGACTTGAGGAAGTTCTTCGGGCCAGGCTCCCTTTGCCACGTCTAACCGCAACTTGAGGCCGTTCTTTATGATTTTGTTCACGGCCTTTACTTGGCCGTTTGCCTGCGGATGGTATGGAGACGAAAAAAGATGTCTAATCTTGTATTCTTCGCAAAAATCTGCGAGTTTTTTGCCCTCAAATTGCCTGCCATTGTCGATGACGATAGAATTAGGGACACCGAACCGACATATTAACGTCTTCCATATGAAGTCGACCATTTTCTGCTCGGTTATCGTGGCCAATGGCTCCGTCTCGGCCCATTTCGTAAAGTAATCGACTGCAATGATTGCATATTTGACTCTTCCCTTTCCGACAGGCAAAGGCCTAATCAAGTCGATTCCCCATTTAGCAAAAGGCCATGGACTGAACACCGACCTGAGCGGTTCTGGAGTCAAGTTGACGTTTGGTGCAAATATCTCACATTTGGTGCACCTTCTTACCCAGTCTTAGGCGTCTCTTTTCAGATTTGGCCAGTAATATCCTTGTCGTAGAATCTTGTAGGCTATGGCCTGAGATCCTAAATGACTCCCACAAATTCCGTCGTGGATTTCTTGTAATACGAAGAGCGATTCCTGCTCGGGTATGCACTTTAGCAGCGGGACCGAGTAACCCCTTTTGTAAAGAGTTCCATTGTCTAAGGTGAACCGAGCTGCACGAGTTCGCAAGGCTCGCGCTTCTTTGGGGTCCTGCAGTTGGGCCCCAGTTTCAAGTTACGCTATAATGGGATCCATCCAAGTGACAATATTGTCCTCGGAATTTGGTTCAATGTTGACAATCTGCTTTACCGAGAGGTAGAGCGAAGCTCCTGCTTACCGACCTGGACGTATTCTACGTCTTCGATCTTTGCACTTGATGCAAGGTGTGACAGGGCATCCGATTGTACATTCGAAGTTCGTGGGATATGTTCAATCTTGAATTAAAATTTGGACAACTTCTTCATTACCAACGCAAGGTATGGCATTAAGCGAGGTTCTTTAACTTTGAAGATACCGAGCACTTGGTTGACTAACAGCTGCGAATCTGAAAAGATATTGATGTGAGTTACGTTCATAGCTTCGGCCAAGTTCAACCCCGATAGCAATGCCTCGTACTCAACTTCGTTGTTGGTGGCGGAAAAAAGGTATTGAATTGAGTGGAACAAGATCCGTTGATCGGGATCAATTAAGACGATTCCTCCTCTAGCTCGGGTTGGGTTGATGACCCGTCGACGTACATCACCCACGGCTGGTTGTTGATTACTTCTTCAACCCCTAGGGTGAACTCTGCAATGAAGTCGGATAACACTTGTCCTTTGACGGCCGTCCTCGGTTTGTAGTGAATATCGAACTGCCCTAGTTCCACGACCCATTTGATCATTCGACCCAACGTGTCAGGTCGGTGGAGGATTTGTCGTAAAGGAAATGCGGTTAACACCGTAACAGAATGTTCTTGGAAGTATGGTCGTAGCTTCCGAGCTGCAGTGATAAGCGCGAAAGCAAGTTTCTCCATTGGCGGATATCTCAGCTCGGCATCATGAAGGGCTTTGCTGACATAATATACTAGATATTGCTGGGAATCTTCTTCTCGGACGAGTACCGCACTTAATGCCGAGTTGCTGACTCCGAGATACAAATACAACATTTCGTCGGGTCTCAGCTTTTGCAAAGTAGGAGGTTGAGATAAAGCTTCCTTGATACTATCAAGAGCCTTTTGGCAATCATCAGTCCATTCGAACTGTTTTCCTTTCTTTATTGCATCAAAGAAGGGCTTGCATCAGTCGGTAGACTTCGATATAAACCGGTTCAGGGCGGCGAGCCGACCTGTAAGCTCTTGGACTCCTTTCACCGATGTGGGTGACTTTAAGTCTAGAATGGCTTTGATCTTTTGAGAATTTGCTTCTATTCCTCTTTGACTAACTACATAGCCTAAAAATTATTCGACACATCATGGAGTAATCGCACAAAATACTAAACATTTCATTCAAATGGGTTACATGGTCATTAGCGCACACCGATTTTACAAGCATATCATCTACATACACTTCCATGGTACGTCCTATCAAACTAGAAAACATCTTGTTCACCAACCTTTGATAAGTGGCACCGGCGTTCTTCAAACTGAAAGGCATCATTGTATAACAGTACAGGCCCCTTGCCGAGTAAAAGGAAGTGTGTTCAGCCTCCTCAGGATACATTCGAATCTGGTTGTACCCTGGATAGGCATCCATGAAGCTCATCAGTTCATGACCCGAGGTGGGGTCCACCATATAGTCGATATGCGGCAACGGGTAACTGTCTTTTGGGCATGCAGTGTTGAGGTCGGAAAAATCAATGCAGAGGCGCCATGATTCATTGCTTTTCTTCACCAGGACGGGGTTGGATACCCAAGTGGGGTATTTGGCTTCTTTGATGAACTTGTTGTCGACGAGCTTATTGACTTCTTCCTCCAGAGCCTGTTGTTGGTCCGGTCCCAACTTGCATCGCTTTTGAATTATGGGTTTAACTGTTTTGTCGATGTTGAGCCAATGGCATGCTACCTTCAGATCTACTCCCTTCATATCCTCGTGTCTCCAGGCGAAGACGTCGGCATTGGCCTTCAGAAATGATATAAGTTCAGTTCGGATAAGCTCTGGTAAGTTAGCTCCAATGCGGAGCTGTTTGTCGCATGTCGGCTCATCGACATAAATGACTTCAATTTCCTCGGAGGGTTTAGCTCGGCTTCCTGGCTTTTTTTCTTTAACCTGGCTACGCGGATCCAGTTCATCTTCTTCTATGACAGGTTCCTTCCCCGACCTTCTTCCTCAATCTCGGGTAAGGTCTTCCTCAATTGGACCATTGACGTCGGGGTTGCGTGAGGTCGGATTCGTTATCACCCAAAGGTCTGTGCTTTGAACACCTTTAGAAACCAACTTGGTTGAATCCCGACATGGTCTAACTCCGTTTCTTCAGTGGAAACTTCCATAGTGTGGACTTCTCGAGAAGGAATTGTCAATATTAATTCCAGAGCTTCCCGTTGATCTCCATAATGAGTGCCTTCGCCCTCAGTAGTGGGGAATTTGATTGCATAGTGGAAAATGGAGACGGCTGCTTGCAGCTTATACAAGGTTGTTCTTCCAATGATGGCATTATATTCGTTATCAATATCCATAATTTTGAAAGTTTCCATAACAACTTTAGAGGTCGGACCATGGCCTCCAAATCTGACTGGAAGAGTGATCTCACCCAGTGGCACCGACACACTTCCGTTGAACCCATGGACTCTATCATTACATGGTCGGACGTCGGTGGGGTCAAGTCTAAGTTTGTTGAAAGCTCGGAGCATAAGGACACTTGAATACGCACCAGTGTCCACCATGATCCGGTGGATGGGGATACCACAAATCGGTGCTGTGATGAGTAGCGCATCGGAATGAGGGTGATCGAACAGGCTGGCGTCCTCCAAAGTTAATGTAATGGGACAAGTTCGCGAATTGATCGTCTCCCTTAAGTCGGTAACCATCACTTTTTTCCCCGAATTGTATGCTTTATTGGCGTACGCCTTAGCCTGCCGACGTGAGGATGTCAGCTCTTCTCAGTTTGTGTTGACTCGAGGAATAGAACCCACCCGAGGTGAGTTGTGGGGGATTTGGGGAATATCTTCTGTATTTTTTAATTCTCTGCATCTTTTTCCAAGTCAATCATCGACCGACCTGGGACCAATTGGATCGCACATAAAAATTTCCTTTTCTCCCTGTTGCAATCTGACTCTTTTTGTGTTTATAGCCCTTTCATCTTCTTCATCTCGGTCAGGGACGTGGGCCATCTGGTGTCTTTCTTTCTCTTCATTCGGTTTAATAAATCTTTTAATTTGGGGATTCCCAATAAACTTCATGAGTGCCGATAGCAAGCTAAGGCACTCGTCAGTATTGTGACCTGGGGATTTATGGTAGTCACAATACCGAGATTTGCTCAACTGGCTCTCTGGGGTTTTGATAGGTCGCGCTTCGGGGATGATTCCCTTCCCTTTGATTTCATGATAGACTGTGGCGGCCCCAACTGAATAGGTTGCGCGATACCCCGATGTCAGATCTTCTTTAAATTGGCTCCGGGCCGCTTTCGTCTTTGGGTCGTTGGGATAGCTTCGGAATGGCTCCCTGAATTTTAGGTTTTTTTATGAACCGTCAAAGTGTTTCTTCTTTTTCTTGTTCTCAGAAGTCAGTTTCTGTTCCTTCGGGATAAATTCAAGGTCAGGTACCGACATGGATTCTTCCGCAATAATGTGTTGCTGAGCTTGGGCAAGGAACTCCTGGAATGTCCTGGGTTTGTTTTGACAAAGAGCCCAGCGAAACAATGACTTCGGTTTCAAGCCCGACGTTGCTAAGACGAGCAATGTCTCCTGATGGCATGGCTCCATGTTCTGTACACGCTCATTGAAGCGAGTGAAGTAGCTTTTCAAACTCTCGTCCTCTTGTTGGACGATATTGTAAATAGATTCTTTTGGGATCAAGCAGACTTGGGCCCCGATGAAATGCGATCGGAAAGCCGACCTGAGTAAAAAACTACCTCTTGTCGACCTGAGTAAAATTGAAAAAATAAAGCTCAGCCAAAAAAACTACCTCTTGTCGAGAATAAAATGACCAAACTAAAATCAATTGAAAAAATACATAAATTGGACCAGATACTCACAACCCACAACACTAAACCAAGAACTCTACCAGTGACCACAAGCCAAACCCATCCATACTCAGTAATTATATCCCACCATATTTAAGGAATTAAAAATTAATTAATGCAATAAACAATATGAAGGGCAATCATTGGAGGATACCTGATACATGTAAATGGTAGTATGAGTGTTGTGCATACAGAACTACTGTAGTACTTAGCAAAATTAGTTATTAGTGCTCAACAATCAACAAAACTCCACTATTCCCACTCATTTAAATGAGAGACTAACTATGCGGCCCTTCATATTCCAGACTGTTTCAATGCATCTTAGGATGATGAGATAAAATTCTGAAAAGTGCCAACGAGAATAGCCAAACCCATCCATACTCCATAACCCACCTGTTAAAAAACCGACACTGACGCCTAAATCTTTTGCTAAAAATACATGATCAAGCACTCTGGTATTCTCAGCCTATCAAAGACTAGTAAATCAAGAAATTTCAACATCGAGACAAAAAATTCACTTCAATAATCAGATATTCCATTGCAGCCCATCAGACTAAAAACTAACAAAAGATCGAGTAAAACACATATGCAACCACAAGACATATTCAAAATATCCTCCAATTCACTATACAAAACAAATCTAAGAAAATAAAAAAGCAAAATCAAAAAGATGAGTAGAAGAAGAGTTTACATACTCTGTTCAACGTTGAGTGACAGAAAGCTGGTAAGCCCAAAACGTTCCAGGATTCTCTGGACAAAAAAAATCGGTGGAGCTAACGCAACACAACACTGGAGAAATAAGAGATCAAGCTATTGACCTTGTTCGGACCTGCATCATCAAGTAGACGAAAAATTTTGAGACATTACAATAGAACATGAAGAAGAAACCCAAACAGATACAACATGAAGCAGATAGCCTTGTAATCAAATGATTTGCGTCTAGACTCACTTAGCACGTTATATATCTAGAAAACTCAGATATTTTCTCTGGTTCAAAAATAACACAAACAGGCACCTTGCAACCTCAAACCTCAAATTTGATTGTACATCTTATATGAATACCATAGAACAACTAAAGGATGAATAATAACTATCCGATCAATGCTAATAACTAGGAATTTTCACAGATAAATTTATACATTAGCCCTGTGATTAAAATAGCAGCGCCATGGGACGCAATGGAGCGAGGCGAGGCGGGGCCTTAGCGCCTCAGCCCTTTGATAGATAGAAAAACAGAGTGTGTTAGTTAGATGAGGATTTTCCAGCAAACTTAAATTCAACATATACGTATAAGTGACATCAAGGTTTGCTACGGGAGATAAAAAAATTGCTAAATTGTCAAAGTATTCTACACGAATTAAAAAATTACCTTGTGCCTTTTCTTCCACCGGTGACGGCGACCAACCTACGGCAGATAACCGGCGACGCCGATGGCGAGTGGTATGTCTTTCTATTTTTCCTTTCCTTTTTGTTTTTCTTTTTTCCCTTCTTGCTTCAGTTGTTCTCCACCGGTGACGGCGCAGGTTGTGGAAGTTATCTGTTCCGGTTAAACTTCCGTCGCCGGCGAATACTCTGTGTTGTGACCTGAGTGCGAATTCTCGTTTGTACTGTAACTGCGGCTATGTTTTTGTTGGGAACGAATTCTTGTGTTTCTGTGTTTTACTGTAAGTGTGTTAGATACAGATTAAGAGAAGAATTATATTCCAATTAGGGATTTTCAATTAAGTGTTAAAGATTTTCAAGAAATTCAATTAAGAGTCAGCGACTGAACCGAGCTTAAGGTTTTTGAGTCTCGTTCCATTAATTCTTGAACATGATCGTGTTCATTCATTTAATATTCAAACAAAAATTTTCAATCGTGTTCGTTTGTTTCTCGGTTCGACAAGTTTGTATTTGTTTGTTTGTATTATTCGACATATTCATGTTTATATTATTCGACATGTTCATGTTCGTGTCTGCTGGTTTTTTTTAAGTACCATATAAGTTATTTTATTTAATATTTAACACATTTTCATACTTATATATATATATATATATTATTATATATATAATATATATAAAATTATAAAATACCCAGTTGTTCACGAACGCTCGTTTATTTCGCAAACTTGCTCATATTCATTCAATAACTAAATGAGTATAATTTCATGGTTGTGTTTTGATCGATTATTAAATGAACAAGCTGTTAACACGAACGAGCTTTGTTCGCGAATAGTACGGTTCGATAACAGTCCTACAAGGGTCATTGGAGAGAAAATTGAACCTCATTGTGAGGTATCAAAATCGAATCAATGATCATTCGGTTATCGTTACAAAGTAATCGGTACGTCTAGATTTAATTTTTTGCCGGTTTTGTTCGGTTTTCGATTTTTGGAAAAAAAAAATTCTTATGTGTCCAAAGTNAAAAAAAAAATCTTATGTGTCCAAAGTGTTTCTATAACTTTATATATCATTTTAATTATAGGATTGAATAAGTATTATTAAAATACATTTTTTAATTAGTTGAAGAACAAGTATTATTAAGTATGAAAATTTAATTGAAGTTTAATTATTATTCTATATATGATATTATGTAATTTAAAATTATGCAAATTGTATATGATTAAAGTTGATATGTAAGATCTATGAACAAGACACATCTAATATTATAATTTGTTTATTAATTCGGTTCGGTTCGGTTTAGATTTCACTTAAAATAATATGACGCGATTGGATTGGACAAATTTAAAATAATATGTCACGTGATTATACATTTGCTAGCTAAAAATGAAAAAAAAATAAAAATTAAAAAAATGAGAAGAGATAAGTTATTTATTTACATTTCAATTTTTTCTACACAATTAAATTATTATTTATATTTTCACTTTTCAAATACTTTTACTACCGCTTGCTCACTGACATCACTACTTCTCCAATAATCAAGTAAGGGCTCGTTTGTTAGCCTAAACAAAAAAGTACAATTTTTATTCTCGGTATAAAAAATAAAATGTATAGATCGATTACAATATATTGATAATAATAACCAATTAAGTATTCATTTGTTAACCTAGACAAGATAAGACAATTTTTATTTCGAGTTTCAAGATTAAACTGTAACGCCCCGATTATTATTATAATATTAAGACGATTTTCACTGCTCGACTTTTAAGTGAAATTCGTAATTTTCAGAAATTCAAGATTTATTAAGTATATGCTAAGTGCTCAAAAATATATTAAGTTCATTTTAAGTATTCGGATATTTTTATTCGAATTAAGTTTCGTTCGTTCCGAACCCTAGTCGTTGAGCCTTAGAGTAATTTAACTTTAATAGCATAATATTTAGAATTTTTTATGAGGTGAAATTTCAAGTCCTAGATCTCGTTCAAAAAACCGAGAAGTTAACCGAGCCGCGACCCTGCCCAAGGCCCCGGGTCGAGGTCCGAGGACAAGCCTAAGTTGTAGGAAACATTAGCATAATTTTTCTAAATCCAAAACATCAACAAAATTGATCAAGAACACCAGCCCAAGCCATTCACGCGCCCAGCACGCCCCGCACGCGCCAAGCAAGCCTGCCCCGCGCAGTCCAGCAGGCCTCCCCAGCGCCCCAGCAGAATGCCACGCGCGAGCCCAACGCCCAGGCCCAGCGCCAGCGTGACCAGTCCAGCTTCCAAGGTCCAAAACACCATTTTTCGGCCCACTTCTCTCGAGCCCAAATTTGTGTGAATATAGTCAGGTTAATAAGGAACAAATCCAGCCCAAATTTCCCTACAAAACTCTTGGTCAAAGTCAAATGGCTCTAGGCTAAGTTAGTGGTAGACACATTATTAAAATATTGTCTTGGTGACTACAATGTCCCCCACTACATCACAAATCCGACCAAGACCACTCCACCACCCCATAACACTCTGAAAGAGGCTCCTAAAACCTTGCAAAATCAGACCAAGGATGTCCCCAAGGTAGCCCCTTCACCTATGCACTTGGGAGAGTGGGAAAGACCACTTAACTGTCCCCTTTGACCAATGTCTTGCACCCTCAGCCCTTAAGCCTTTATAAGACCAATTGTTTAGACCCAAGAAGCTCTTAAACACTCTTAAATTCGAACACTTACAAAAAATTAAGAGGAGAACCAAGAAACCCCTCTTCTAGCCACATATCGCATGCACGCGCGCCCGAGGAGGCCTTCACCAAGCTTCAGCCATTCCAAGCCACCTCTCTCGAGTTTTATCACTGTCCAAACATATTTTGGATTTTTATAAGCCTCTTGAGTTCACCCTTGCAGCCCAAAATCACTCAAGTCGAGCCAAAGGACTCCAAGCCGCGAGCAACCGAGCAAAAACCCTAACTAGCCCACATTTTTTATTTCGGTGAAGGTTAGCTTGAGAAATCCACTTTCCTTAGCTATAATATGATAAAATATGATTTACCAAGTAGAGAAATCAAGTCATGCATGTGTTTTAACATGAGTTTCGAATTTTAAGAATTTAATACCTTAAAATTGGATTTTTAGTTCAAAGAATGTTTATGACGATTTTATTAGCTTAAGGTCACTTAAAAATCATGAGAAATAAGATGTGGAAGTTTGAGAATTTTTGGAGTTCATTTACTCGGTCAACTAGCTCTAAAAAATATTCCATTTTTAGCTCCCGAGCCCCTTTAATGTGCAAGCATGCTAAGCCTATCATCTTAGCTTTAAAAATCATGTTTTCACATGTATATAACTCTGCCATGGTCCTTTGTGTTAGATAGAGTAGTGGGTTCGGTGACCTTAGGTCCATGCGTGCCTAAATAGCCCTACCGAACCAAGTTGATATGTATGAAATATATGACCAATGTTCTTGCCTCTTTAGTCATTATTTTTTATGTTAATAATTCGGCCATAAGTGATTTTATAAGTTAAGCATGTCCGTTCGGTGACCTAGAGTTCAAGGGTGCCATATAGGCCCTACCAAACCAAACCCTTGCATGTCCGAGCCCTCCTATGTAATATCCCGTTCTTTTATTAATAAAAGTAATATTCTTAGTTCTGAGTTCGAATTACTTTTACTTTTATTAATATTGCTCCTTTTAAACTTCCGAGCCAAGCTAGTAAGTCATTCAGTTATAAGTTGAACTTTAAGTCGAGAATCAATTCGATTTTAAGTTTATTCAGTAACCGAGTAAACTCCGGTAATTAATTCCAAACCGTTTATTTTTATAAACGGAGATTAATAGTCAGGATTAATTATTTTAAGTCGACGAGATAATCGAAGTCTAGAATAATTCGATAAATTTTCAAGATTGTCGCGATCGAAAAATCGAACAAGTTTGGTTCGATTAATTTCGAGTTTTTCTCGAAACCCTAACCGAGCCTTATAATATTTTCTTAAAATTTTCTAATAAAGTCACAAAAAATAAGTCCCTAAGTCAAGATATATAAGCCTTAGAAATTTTCATGCTGGGCCCAAGTAGGGTTGAGTCCAGCCCATGTGCACGGGCCAGCACGTGCAGCCCAGTGCGCGCCCGGGCCAGGCCGCACGGCCCAGCTCGCGCAGGCCCNCCCAGCTCGCCCCAGCTCGAGCCAGCCCAACTTTTACCCGTACCAAAGTGCTTAATTCGGCCCAACTGAGTATAAATCCGGTCATTCTCATGGTCAAACTTCTAGGCATGGATGGTGAGGTGGTCATGACACCTAGGTTCATGACTAAGCACCTTAAGGTGTCACTAATGCACCTTGTAGTACCAATGTCTTCATTAGACCTCATAAGACTTCCACCTCTTCATCATCTCGGTTATGGAGGATAAATAGCAGCATTTAGGGGACTTTTACCTTCATAAGTCAGCCTTAAGTTAGAAAAATAAAGGGAAAAACCAAGTAGATGCACGAATTGGCACGAGAAGAAGCCCTAGCGTACGTTTTTGAGTTCCTTGAAGGTTAGTGTTGACCACCGACTTGGTAATTCGAGCATAATTCCAAGTAAAGACGAGTTACAGATAATGTAACCGTAATGCCTTAGGTTTAAGATAAGATAAGGACGAAGCACGTCGGATTGCCTCAGAAGCTTTTCTCCTTTGCGAACGACACGTGACCTCGGAATCATGCTTCACCTCGGAATTGCGCCTTCCCACTGACGTGACTAACTAACAAAACCCACTTCTCAAGCTCTCACCGACATCATACTACTACCGACTTGCTATGATTTCCTGACATGACCGACTTCTTGAAATCTTGTCATTGTCTATCGACACCACCGCCCACCTTGGAAGTAACCGAGTTCATTAATACCCAAGCAGGTGACCAGGCGCCTACGCGACCTCCTTACGTTTCGTGTCCGACGTCCTGATGATCGTGGACCCAACTGACCAAACCGCCCCTTTAAAGCCATTTTTCAAACAAATCCTGAATGATTGGAGATCTCGAATAGTGTGTACCAAAAAGTTACTATATATAGCTTAAGGTCCCCTTAGTGAGGGAAGAGGGCACTTTGTACGGCTTGAACATCAGTCAAGAACATACCAATCACTTACTGATCAATAAAATTTTCCATTATCGATATTCACAGCATTAATCCATGTCATAAATATGTCATTTATGTTGTTACGAATCCATACGACAACAGTTTGGCGCTAGAGGAAGGGCCTCATAATTATTTGAGGTCAATCTTCGACGTTCTTAGTAGACACCCATAACTCTGCCACTGTATCGTTATTCCACTGTTTTGCACACCTACTAGTTGTCGGTCATCTCTCGGTCGGGACAAGATGATCCCACAACCAGAGGAAGTGCGATTAATCCAAACCAACGCGCTGCAAGACGCGCCAACAACGCTCCTGTGAATCAAATTCCAGGCCGAGTAATTAATATTCCGTCTAACAATGCTCCGGTGAACCAACCAGTAGGCCGCGTGGTTAATGTTCTGTCAACTACCGATGTAGCCGCGCTTCTTCAAAATCCAGAAATTGCGAAAGGACTCGCCGCCCTGTTAGCACAAGTATTTCCTAGTACTTCACGGGCACCCCCGGGGGCGCTTGTAAATCCGCTGGAACCTGTCCGACAAGGTGCACCAGCACCTCTGTAAAATGATAACCGCCACGCTCTTTCCCACGCTACTTCTCATCCTCGAGATAATAACCACCATGGGCCACCAGTGGGGGCCGCACCGCCACCCGACGGGAATAATATGCAAGAAGCGACGGCTGAGAGTCACCCCGAACACACGCGAAGGGTTGCCGCGCCCGAACAGCCAGTGCCACCACAACCTAACAATCTTCCCGACTTATGTCAGCATATTGAGATAAATCGTCTTCACCGACGTGAGAATTCAGAGACCGAGATGCTGAGGAGACGAGTTGCCAAACTCGAACTCGAAGCCCAACGTGGCACCCACGCGCGGTTACCACCGATCTTTCATCCTTCGGAGCCGGGCCATGTATATATGGAAGTTGAATCGCCGTTAGCCCCAGAGTTGACCATGGGCCCTATCCCCAGAAAAGTCAAAGTACCTCAAATCGGATTGTATGACGGGACCTCGGATCCTGACGCCCATCTCGGTCACTATACATCTTGGATGGATCTCCACGGTGCTACCGACGCCCTGCATTGCAGAATGTTTTCCTTAACCCTGGGACCTCGGGCTCAAAAGTGGTATCACTCACTACCTCCGCATTCCATCTGGAAATGGCAGCAGCTTAGGTCAGCCTTCCGTTCACATTTCATTGGGGCCAAGTTTGTCTAATCCCCAAAGAATCCATTGCGAATATAACTCAACGGGATGATGAAAGTGTGAAGGAATATGTTGCTCGATTTAATGAGCGAGTTCAGAATATGGAGCCTTGTCATCCAGAAATGTTATTAGTCTTGGCCATTGTTGGGTTAAAACCGAATTCCATGTTTCGATTGACATTGTGTCAGAACAAACCTAATACTTTCCAAGACTTTCTTGCCCGAGCGCAATAACACATTATTGCCGAAGAATCAATGTCGGTTCCCGACTTTAGCTTTTCCTCGAAGGAACTAAGGTCCGAATCCGGTGGTTCGAAGAAGAATAAGAAAGCATCTGGCAGAAAACTGGGGAGGCCTTCATTCGGAGGCTCATCAAAAGATGATTATAATAATACCCCTAAGGGGAAGGCAGCTCTAAAGAAGTATAGGGACGACTTGAAGTCCGGCTATCAAACCGTGTTCTCAGACTATCTACGAGGAGCTAAAAGGGAAAGAGATTTTACCTGACCCTCGGCCAGTAAAGATGCCCCTGGAACGGTTAGATAAGTCTCGATGTTGCAATTACAATAAGTCCCCAAGGCATAACGCCGATGAATGTTTTAGTTTGTTAGCCGCCTTGTTAAGGTTGATCGGAC